TAAATTTTTTTCCCCCAGCTTGAAAAACTCTCCTTGGCATTTCTTATAAGACAAGTCTGACAGTGATGAACTCCTTTAGCTTTTGTTTGGGAAATTCTTTGTCTTTCACTTCTGAAGAACAGCTTTGCCAGGTACAGTTTTCTTGATTGGCAGATCTTTTTCTTCAGCCCTTTGAGTATATCATCCCACTCTTAGGCCTGGTCTGTAAAGGTTTCTACTGATACATCTGCTGTTAGCCTTATTAGAACTCCCTTCTATTGGGTTGGCTTCTTTACCTTTGCCTTCTTTGCCTCAGAGTCCTCTCTCTGTCTTCCATTTTTGATGGTTCAATTATAGTCTTATTATAACAAGTCTTGATGTAGTTCTGTTTGGATTGACTCTAACTGGAGACCTTTGATCTTCCTGCACTACTTATATCTTCCCAAGATTTGGAAATGTTTCTGTTACTTCTTTAGGTTTTCTCTTCCTTTGTGTCTCATTCTCCTTCTTTAGTCCTTATAATTTGAGTATTTGCTTTCTTTTTGCTTCCCCATAAATTCCATAAGATTTCTTCTTTTCATTCCTTTTCCTTCCCCCCACCATGTATTTTCAAATACTCAATAGATTTTTTTTTATCCTGCTCGATCAATTCTGCTATTGACACTTGCTGTTGCATTTGTTTTTATTTCATTTGTTATATTTGGAGGCCAAAATGTATTTTGTTTTTATAATTTCATTATATTAAGTTCTCATTTTCATCAGTTATTATTTTCCTGATTTCATTGAGTTATTACTCTGAATTTTCTTAAAGTTCATCACACTTCCTGAAAATAATCATTTGAATTCTTGGTTAGGTGGTTATTAATAAGTCTGCATTTCTTTAGGCTCAGTTACTGGTGCTTTATTTTGTTCCTTTGGTGGTGTCATGTTTCCTTGTTCTTGACCATTGTGACTGTGCATTGGTGTCTGCATGTTTGCATAAACAAGAGCTTATTCCAGTTTTTGAAGACTGACTTTGTTTGGGAAAGCCCTTCACCAGCCCGTTTAGAGATTCTGGGCAGGCCATCCTCTCTGTGGGAAGGCTGGCTGCTGAAATTCTTGAGCATCCTGGCCTCGTGCCTGGTCCAGGAGGTGGGTGGTCTTGGTTCCTAGGTCCAAGTGGGCCTTGAGTCTGGAACCACTGGGGTGGACCTGTGATTTTGACTGCAGAGGTGGGCCTGGAGTCTGGGTCTGTGAGTGTAGGTTGCTTTGCCTTTGCTCCATCCTTTTGGCTGCAAAGCTCTTTATTTTCTTAGGATTTCATTTCAGAAATTAGTTGTTTTTCTTAGAGCATTTAAATTATTTCCTGAGGGACCATACTGATGCAATTAATGCTTACTACTCTATGGTTAAAAAGAGGCTTTTGATGTAATCTAATTGTGGCTCACCATCTATCCAAAACAACACAATTGACCCAAGAGACTCCGTGAAGAAAGCATCATTAGAACAGTGAGTGAGTTCAGTCAGGTCACAAAATGAATAAAAAGAACTCAGTTGTTTTCACATGGAGGAAATTAGAAAATGTAATGAAAACACATTCTATCACAGTAGCAAAAAAACAAACATAAAATGCCTAGGAATTAACTTAATAAGACTGTGGAACTTAAATAAAGGAAAACCACTACAAAACTACAAAACTCCACAGAAGGACCTAAATAAAGATGAATTTTGAATACATAGTAGGCCATATGGTGCTTCTAATTGAAATAGCCTAGTGTAACGCAGATGATCCTGTGTCTCTCAGATCTACAGGCTTCATTTTTTCTTTGGTAGCTGAATAAAATGACTATATTCCATGCGTTGAAAGTCTATCACTTTTTCAAAAATCTCCAAAACTGTTTTGGAGATTATTGATCAAAATAAACCACAATTATTTTTTTTGTTCTCCTGTTACTTGATTATCCATTTATTAATTCACTCACTGTTTATTTTTATGTACATTTATCGAGTGCTAACCATGTCCAAAGCACTCTTGTTGTTACCCACTGGCCATTGCTTATGACTGCTGGGCTGCTACCTCCAAGAGATCCTTGTCTTGCCTTGGGACATTGCCCCTGTCAATCACCTATACACAGCTATTTTGTGCAAGACTTTTCTGAGGTTTGAAGGATACTAGAGGTGGGTGAATATTGTGGGAGGGAAGGCATACTGATATAGCATTTATGTACAAATAGCATAAATCAAGAATGAGCTAGAAATTAAAGTTCACAGGTCACACCCTGTGGGAAGCTTCTCACTTAATGCTTTGTGTTTGGGTCTCACCTGCTGCCATCTTTTGGAATTCCCTCTCCCCATCACTCAGACATCTCCTATTCATCATGTCAGCCCCTGTGATTTCTATACCCTTTGGCCCCTGTTTTAGTCAGCTGTTTCACTGCTGTGACTAAAAGACCCAACCAGAACAACTTTAGAGAAGGAAAAGGTTATTTGGAGGATCACAGTTTCAGAGGTCTCAATCCATAGACAGCAGGCTCCCTTCCTTGGGGCTCAAGGTGAGACTGAACATCATGGCAGAAGAGTGTGGCAGAGGGAAGTAGCTCACATGATGATCAGAAAGCAGAGAGAACAACTATACTCACAGATACAAATATATACCCCAAAGCCGTGCCTCCAATGCCCCTCCTCCTCCAGCCAGTTACCACTCAATTAATCCCATCAGGAATTAATTCACTCCAAACCTTCTAGCATTGTCTCACACATGACATTTTGGGGGATACCACGTCTAAACTCTTTCCTAGCATAAGCCTTTGGAAACTCAACTCTTCCTGTTATTTCATAGCTAAAAGCAATTTAGCTGTCTCTCTCATCCTTACTCATATAGATGGGGGCAAGGGTGGTATTAATTTGTGTAACCAAAGAAGTCATGAGCTATTGTGTTCCCTTCCCTTAGGTAAAAAAATATAAAAACACTTCTCACACCCTGGAAAAAAATTGTTTTCTCATCTCCAGAGCAACACGTTTTAAAATATTTAATTTTCTGCTTATCACGTTTGTATTTTGAAGAATTCAAATCTCTCCCAAGCAAACAGAAGATAATTTGAACCAAAATGCCAATGATTTTTTTCCCCTGAAATTCAATAAAATGATCTTGAAGTTAATTTTAAAGGAAGAAAAATAAACTCAAAGAACAAGATGAATCTTAAAAGGAAGAGGTATAATAGAGGACTAACTCTGGGTTTAATATTAACACTTTTCTAGTGGAAGAATGAGCAAGCAGAGGAAAAAAAAACACAAAATCTACAAACAGGTTTAATAATAGGAAATTACTGAGAATGTAATAAGTGAAATAACTCCAGAAGAAAACACAGGCAAGTATTTATGTAATGTCTGACTGAGGAAGGTCTTTCTAACCAAGGTGGAAACATTCTTATTAAAATCATTAAAAAAACCCAGCATGGATAAACCTTAAAACCATTATGCTAAGTAAAAGAGCCAGATGCAAGAGATTACATATTGTGTGATTCTGTTCCCATGAACTGTCCAGAGTGGGCAAATGCATAGAGACAAACACTAGATTCATGGTTGCAAGGGCAGTGGGAGCAACTAGTACTGAATACAGGGTTGTCTAGAGTAACTAACATGATCTGTGTTCGGTGGTGACTGAGGGTGGCTGAATAACTTTTGAATATACTACTAACCAGTGAATTATATACCTTAAAGGTTGAATTTTATGGTAAGTGAATTAAAAAAATTTTAAGATAAATGAGGTCTACTAATGATGTCATAAGAAAACCTGCATGTCAGTAGAGAACAACCAAAGAATATAATTAAAATTTTCCAATGCAAATTAAAGCAATGAGATGGAGTATGTACCTATTTACTGGCCAAGATGAAAAGAAATTATAAATCTCCATCATTTGGTAGAGTATAATCCATTTAACCTATATTACTGGTATTGAGGAAGAGAAATGGGCAATATATTGATTTTGAAAGTCTTAAATTGTGTTCTTGTGTTTCCATTTCTACATCATTTTCTATTTAAAATAAAGTAGTAAAGCAATAGAATCAACACAGAAAAATGTCTGCGGTTATAAAGTAGGAATCAGAAAATGACATGGACCAACAGAGGCACACATTGGGAAGACCAGAGAAATGCACTCCAAAATGAGAGCAAACCATGGCCTCTTAGGGGCAGGATAACAGATAATTTGTACTCCCTTGTTCATTCTTGTCCATATTCTCTGTTACTCAGAACAGTTCCAGGAGCAAAGGAGCAGATGTCATCACTATCTGATCAATAGCTAGCACCGGAAAGTCACCTCAGCTATAGGTTCCTCAAGATAGCATATCTCTCTTTGCTTAATCTATTTGTTGAAGTGTTAGTTAATAATATTCAAGTACATTTACAGATTTTCCAGGAATTTGGGAGTAACGGGCCTGGAAGGGAGACAGGCTTAGAAATAACAAGCCTGGAAAAGCATACATAATTTCTCTATTAAATTTTTATTTCCTTGTCCTTCCTTGACGTCTCCTTTCTACCGATTTCTTATTTACTCTATCCTTCCTCAGTCTTTTGCAAATATCCTATGCCGGAAGTATATTTTTGATCAGGAAACAATTTTTAAAAAGTTGTTTTAGATAATATAACTTCAAGTGTGATGAAACTTTCTTGTACTTTTTTGTTTGAGGTTGTGTGTGTGTATGTGTGTGTGTGTGTGTGTGTGCGCCCGCGCGCACGAGTTTAGTAAAGAAAGTTCTAAAGAGATCCATGAATGTTCCAAAGCCAGATTCTCTAAGTCTCACCACATGAGATGCCATCAGGACAATTCGTGGTTTCAGGATTTGACCAATCGATGTTGTAAAACGGTCATTTTACAACGTGGACCATCGTAAATTAAACTGTGGTGTATCTCAAGGTTTATTTCTGCTCCAAATACAGGTATATTAGAATTCACTGCCAGGATCACATTACGTGGAGTGCTTTGGATTACTGATGATTTTCTCTGGATATAACCATTTTCTTCTCCCGTTTTCCTAGACAGAATCATGAATAAACTGGAGGATAAGCAGGACCAGATGATACCATGAAGAGAAGTTTACAGGCCCTCTATTGCCAACTGTTAAGTAAGTTCCAAGTGTGTTTCTTCTTCCCTAGAATATACTAATATCACTGCCTGCTGAGTGCTGGAGACTGACCTGTTTTCTGGAGGAAGACCAGGGCTCAGTCAGTGAGAAGGGACAGCAGATTTACCCTTTGTTGCATCTAAACGAAGTATCGAGCATTAATGGATTCCAGTGTTTTGAGTGTCTATTGTAACGTGGACCCCGATATAACGATTCTAACATGACATGTTAAGCATCGTTAAATTGAGAATGTGTCTCCAAAACATTCTTGCTCTTGGTTTTGTTGTAAGATCTTCTGGTATGATCTTCCTTAGGTTCCTCATGGGGAGGAAATGGTAGATTGTGTTTTCTGGATTTTGTCACATAGAACCCATTAGCATGCAGTGACCATATGGCCTTTGGCTTGGACTGTTTATACATGTTGCATACGATTCTCAGATAATGAGTGGTAGAAATGCAGTTTCTTGGTTTTGTGGTGGAATAAGGAGTGTTTGATTATGACATATTCCTTATGGGTTTTGGGGAATGTACCACAAAGCACCATTTGCCCGTGTAGTAATTGTACAGCCTTTGGGATTGAACTTGTTACTGTGCAAATGTACAAGCCCGTACCAATTGCTGGTTTGGGTGTTCTGATTGATCCACTTGGTACCACAGGCATTGGCCATTCCAAGTCCAACCAAAGGCCCCAAGTTGGAAAACTTGGGGTCCGATGCGGTGATAAACGGAGGGCCTGTCTTTCCTAGACTAAAGCAGCTCCTTGTTAACTTGTACTGAGAAAATAAAAATGAATAAAATGCAAAGAGATTGAGATGCAAATCACTAGCCCAGTCCGCCCTTAGAATTCAGCACTTCAGGTTATATTGTTGTATCCCCAGTGCAAAGCACTTTATCTACAGACAGCATTCTGGCTGAGTGTTTTAATTGACTTATTTCTTCTGCTACATTCTAATCCCTGAAACACAGATCACGTAAGGCTATTTCAGCCCTGTGGAAAGTCGCCAAGACTTGCAGGGACTCTCTTATGTTCTTTTCCCATGTGCTCTATGGACTGTTGGCTTCTTGCCTTTTTTTTTTTTTCTCTGATAAGCTGGTTTTTTTAAGAAAAGGATTTACAGATTGAAGAAGCAATGTCATCAAGGAATGATTAACTCTGCCTTGATGGGAGAGGGAACGTTTGAAGGATAAATAGGATTTCACACACAAACACACACACACACACACACACACACCTCAGAGAAGGGGAGGCAATCTTCGTAGGAGGAGGAACAGGAATTGAAAAGGCAGCAGAAGTACTTTTGAAGCAGCAAAATGCTTTTTGAGCTCATCTAGGCTGATCATACGTCCCAAAGTTTGATAATATTAATATGAAGGTCATATATTATTTGAAAGGTCTTGAGTAAATTATTCTACACTTCAGAGACAAGTCTTAGGCCATGACAGGTCTGTGTTCCTAAACTGAGCAAGTATGAAAGCTAAAGAAAGAGGTTTCAATCATCATCCAGATGGCTACAGATACCAGCTGGGTCTCAACACCTTGTGGTTTGCAAAGCTTGCTGGGATGTGCAGCTCGTGCAGATCAGACAGCTCTTTGCTGGTTAGGAGGTAGATAGTGGTCCCCACTAAACCACCCCAACTGTTGGCATGCATACACACACATTAGCTCATAAGTGTCGTCTGTGGCCAGTCATACGGTTTCCAGCCACATCATGGCCTTCATGTTGGCAAAGCTCCAGGGCTTCACAGAGCATTACATGGCCAGAGACAGGGAGCATGCATGTGTGTGTATGTCTGTGTGATCTCTCCCCATCTACTTACAAAGCTAAGATTCAGTCATGAGGGCTATACCTAATGACCTATGTCACTGTAATTCATTCTCATTCACTCGCTCTCCAAAGTTCCAACCTCTGACAAGCTTGCAGCTTGCCAGTGATGTCATGTGAGGCTGAAAAATCCCAGCTTCTCTCTGGATCACTGTGTCACAATCAGCAGTCACTGTGTCACTCACAGCAGCCTGTGAGACTGATGGGGGCTGAGAGATGCAGTCTTTGGCAAATAGGGTCAATTGAGATTTCAATATTTTACTTTTATTGGGTTCAATCTCCAGCACCAAAAAAAAAAAAACACACACACTTATTAAAACTATCTCTGCCTTTTGTTTCTTGGGCTGCACTCCACAGCACAGAACTGAGTGTTTTCATCCTGCCAGCGTGAGCCCTCTGGGGAAGCTGAGCACGTTTTTTAAGATGCCTTGGAACAAATGAAAATCTGAGGTTGGGCATGGTAATGGGAGCCTTCACGGTTATGTAAAACTCCTGCCCTTCATTTTTTCTTTCTAAGACCTAGGTAATCACTTAGGTGTGAAGCTAGTGGAAGGAATTCCTAGGTTTTTGAACAAGGAGACCAGAGTTCAAATCCTCTCCCTACCACTCTGTATCAGTTACCTTAGGTAAGTGAACGTCAGTGAACGCTCAAAGAGAAGTGAGATATGACGGCCCCACCGTGACTGAATGCATGGCAAGTAGAAGACCCACAACGGATGCCAGTTCCCTCGTTGGCCTTCCTCTGGAAGAGAGGAAGGCAACCTCTACTGTGCATTTATATGGGATCTTCTGGTTTGCAAAGCATTTTTCCAAAATTTGATCATCACAATAATCTTATAAGGCAAGGTGGGAATTAATCGTCACTGACCCCATTCAACAGAGACCCCATTGTCAAGGCCACCTTTCCCAAGCCACATCACATAAAAATGCATTGGGTAATGGAAAGCAAGAAACATCATCACAAGCCTTTAAGAATGTGACGGTGCTGGGGTAGCACTGAGTCATGAATTAGCAGCCTGGTCTTAGCCTGAGTTCTGCATACTGGAAACTTGTTTGCATTGATTCATTGTTCAGGACTAAGGCAATTATTGTGAGTTTGTGAAAATATTAAGTTTTTGTATGCCAACATCCATTGAAATCAGAGTTGGTTGAATACTTCAAATTAAGAAGTAATTATATTTGGTAACTTAAGTCGGTGTAATACACCCACACACATTAGAATTTCTGAAGCCATGCTCTGTGTTATTACTAGTGCATCCTATTTGCTCCCTCCTGCATCCTCTGCATATACTGATCCCTGCTGACCACACAAAATAACCCTTCGCTCAACCCAGAGAACTGCCTGCAGGTCCATGTCTTTCAGGTGGGGGAGGGGAAGAGGAAGTTAAGAGATTCCCGAAGTGAATTTCTGTTCCTTACTTGTAGAATTGAGAAGGGAACATATACTCCCTTTTCTCTACAGGGGCATGGGTCTGTCTCAGTCTTAGATTATGCACTGGGTGGGGGGCTGGGGTTGTGGCTCAGGGGTAGAGCACTCGCCTGGCGCATGCAAGGCCCTGGGTTTGATCCTCAGCACCACATAAAAATAAATAAATAGAAATAAAGATTATGCACACATGCGCACACGCATGCACATGCACCGTATTACCTGTCTCTCTCAGACTCTCCTAGGTGTAAACAGGCAGGCTTCCCAGCTTCTATTGGTCTGGATGTCCCTGAGTGAGCCATGGGTCTAGAATCTTCAGATCATTTTTCATCCTGGGCTCACTCCTATCTTCTTTGGCCAGCTACTCTCGAGAAATGGTCTTCTTATGCTTTATCTGTACCCTTATGTCATCATTATTCACCCAGATTTCTCAACATCCCCACCCAAACCCAAAGTCATCTGGACTTGCTTTCTGCCCCATCTCTGGTGCATCTGGACGTCCGTTCCCATCGACGCCAACGTGTGAATCCATTCAAGTCTCTGTGTCCCCACTGTCTCTGCCTTGGAGAAGGGCTGCCAGGGTTCTTGCCTGGACACTGTAATAGTCTCCCTGCTTCCTGTCCTGTTCTTAAGCCTCCTTTCTCATTCGCCCTCACTGGACTTCAGAATTAGCTGCCTGTCCTCTGCATAAGCTCCCAGGGCATTCAGCAAAAGCAACCACTCTTGTGGTGTCTCCACCAAGGCCTGGGGACGCCCAAGACCTTCTCAAGAACTCTTTTAGGCCCTCCCTTTCCCAACTACTCATCTTTATGAAGTCATCTTTTTTCCATATATTTGAACCAAAATAACATATCTCAACAGATTGAATGCAAAAGCTGATATGAGAACCAACTGTCTTTCACAAACCAGACATTAATGAGACTTACAAAAATATAAAGCAATGCCACCTAATTTTTTTTGGTCAGAAAATATGGCTATTTTTCACTAGGAAAAAAAAGTTTATTTGTTAAAACGTGAAATTTTGTTGTTATTTTTAACGACTTAATTTGGGGGGGGGGTGGGCATAATCAGGGATTGAACCCAGGGGTGCTTAACCACTGAGTCACATCCCCAGCCATTTTTTATATTTTATTTAGAGAGGGTGTCTCTCTAAATTGCTTGGGGGGCCTCACTAAATTGCTGAGGCTGGCTTTGAACTCACGATCCTCCTGCCTCAGTCTTCTGAGCCACTGGAATTTGTGCCACCATGCCTGGCTGTAAATTAATATTTTTTGTTTCCCAGATTTTTTGACCTTTAATACAGTAAATATCAGTAGATATAATCCATATAAACAAAGGCTTTTTGGAGGCCTTAGTAAAATTTAAGAATATAAAGAGGTCATGAGATAAAAATGATTGATAATCACTAACCTAAAGGATGAATCTTCGATTCCTTAGGTTAGCATTCAAGTTAAGAGCCTGGTGGCCAACTCTCTCTCCAGCTTTGTCTCTCTTAGTTTTTCTACATTTCATGCCTTCCAGTCCCCACCCCCCGCCAACACACACAACACACACACACACACACACACACACACACACACACACGCAAACAGCTCTGCCCAGAAGGCTGCCACAGTGTGTTCCAGCCATCACAGCTAGTGTTAGATCCCCCATAAGATGTTTAGCCCTTGGTATGCATGTGCTTGTTTTCTTGTCTTCGAGTTCCAGGGTGACCTCTGTTGCTGGTCTAGTCTAGAGCTTGAATCATAATG